CAGACCACGACCCACCCACAGACCACGACCCACCCACAGACCACGACCCACCCTTAGATCTGACCCTCGACCCACCCACAGACCACGACCCACCCACAGACCACGACCCACCCACAGACCACGACCCACCCACAGACCTGACCCTCGTCCCACCCACAGACCACGACCCACCCACAGACCACGACCCACCCACAGACCACGACCCACCCACAGACCACGACCCACCCACAGACCACGACCCACCCACAGACCACGACCCACCCACACACCACGACCCACCCACAGACCACGACCCACCCACAGACCACGACCCACCCACAGACCACGACCCACCCACAGACCACGACCCACCCACAGACCACGACCCACCCACAGACCACGACCCACCCACAGACCCACCCACAGACCACGACCCACAGACCACGACCCACAGACCACGCCCCACCCACAGACCACGACCCCCGACCCACCACCTGTACAGGAGAGCTAAGCCTGATGACCAGAGACCGCTGTCGTACACCTGAAGACCTCGTTTGCTGCTGTCACCAAGCCCGTCGCCCGGTGTCATGTCGTTGTCGTCTGATGTCACGTGCTTGTCGTATTTACGTCCAGCTCATCAGCAGACGTGGAGCGGGAATGTTGGTGGTGATCAGCAGACGTGGAAGGTTTTAACTGGCTGGTCGACGGTAGACGGCCGTCTGACACGGTTGACGTCAGGTTCAGCGGACAATCACGGGGGTGGTGGCTCAGTCAGGGGTGGGGGCTCAGTCATTGGTAGAGGTGGAGGGCACAGTCTGGTGGGGGTCGGGGCTCGGTCGGAGGTGGGGGCCCAAAGCTAGGGGTGGGGACTCAGTCAGGGGTTGTTTTTAGAAAACTTTCAGCTTAAACTTAATGAAAACGTGGAAAATACCATAGATTTGTTAAACTACGCTATACATCTTTTCAAATGAGCAATGGGACTGAGTAAATGTGATTACAAAATCCATACTTTGGTGTCTGTGTTGTGGTTTTAAGTTGGAGTGAGATAAGTTCTCACATTTTTTACACGTTGTTCAGTTGTTTAAATCGTTGTTGTAGTGTTATACACACATAACGTTGACAGCAGAGTGTAAGACACATACACTGACATGTCAGACAGCTAAGTAGAGAAGCCAAGGTGTTTGGGTGAGGAGAGGGGGGATTTTTGCACGAGATTATTATTGCCGTCAAGATTAATGGGAAATCATGGGAGATAATCATAGATATTTTATTTTTGTTTCACCAAAGATAAATCTGGATTTTAGAAGGTTTTCAAAAGATGAAATATGATGGATGATTTCATTTAACTAAATCTGACAGAATAAATTAAATCTGAGGTAAGACGAACACGTGGTATTTAATACGTGCAGGCGTACGGAAAAGGGGCGGGGAAGGCGGGACTTAAACCCCTGCCAGGGGACATAACAATGAAAAAATTGTGTCAAAGATTGGACGTGTTAGCTCCGTCAGTAAATAAAACTATCGAGCCTGGGTGACACATGTCGGATTACTTGTGACAGAACAAAACGCTATAAGTCATCCCGACACCCACCCCCTGCTCCCACCCACGGCTAACTGTGGGGGGGGGGGGGAGTTGGTGAGTCATACTTGACATCAGTAACACCCAGATACATCAGAAATGTTGAAACAGCTCAAAGCTTTTGAAAAAATTAAACTAGATGTTGGAAAACAATTACTTTTTCTGTATGTAGGTATTATGTGTGTGTGTTTATACATATGTGTGTTTGTACATACTACACATACATATATATATATATATATATATATATATATATATATATATATATATATATATATATATATATATATATATATATATATATATATATATATATATATATATATATATATATATATATATATTCAATATTTTGCCCCACATTTTATCAGAATCGGATAAATTTAAATAAGGATTTCATTGTGTTCCTAAAGTTTCGTTAGTACCAATTGTATAGGATTTCATGCCTTTAATTAGTTCGTGCCCTCCACCCATACCCCGTCCCCCCCAATGCCAATGCTATATACTTTAACCCTAACCAAATAAAACTACTTGAAATCTTCCGCTTATAAATTCGACCTGCACTGAGTAATTGGAGTTTATCCCAAGCGGATTTGAACCCGCGTCTTGTTCTGTCCACTTGTTAAGATGATCCCATCTCTCAGCAAGTTATCAATGGGGTTTAGCGGGGTAAAAAAAAAACACGCCGACAGCGGCCAGCTATAGAGACGATCTGATTGGAAGCGATCATCAATTTGTGTGTTCAAACCATTGATTTCCTTGACCCTCCACCCCGCCCGGGCAGGGGTTAGCCAGGACGTGATGGGGAGACAACCCACTTCCGCTTGCCGGCCTCTGCCGTGATAACAGAAGTGTGTGTGTGTGTTTGTGTGTGAGTTCTGGGAAACGATGAATATTTAAGCCGGTTCACGTTTGTTTCGTGTGTTCGGTAAAGATCTGGTTACTGTTTTTAAATCGGCGTGAGCACTGGGTGAGTACTAGGCGCGTTCGACTGTCTATGGGTGGGCTCAACTTATAAATAGCACATTGTCGAGGTCACGTGACTGGTGACTGGTCACCATTCATTGTAGCTGGTGACTTGTCATTCCTCATGGTATTTGTACACATTACAGTACTAGAATTGATCAGTGAAGTTTTAAAATTATGTTTGTAGTATAAATCTATTTATTAATATGTGTTTAATCGACCCTTATTTACACGTGTGTTTAGTTGTGTTTATGTGTCTAAAATAATGTGTATTCCAGAGTTTAATGCGGTAGTGTTTACATTGTTCATGTGACGAACATCTTGTCACCAAAACAGCTGATGTCATGTCACCAAAACAGCTGATGTCATGTCACCAAATCAGCTGATGTCATGTCACCAAATCAGCTGATACCATGTCATTAAACCAGCGGATGTCACCACCAAATTTGACAATCAGCTGATGTCACGATGCTCGTTGGATGCGCTATCACTAGGCCAGTCACATTGTCCGTGCCATCCTCCCCTGCCCCCACCCCACCTGCCCCACCCCCACCAGGCCACTGCAGTTCGTGTGTCTACGTACCCCGTCTGATGATGATATATCGTCTGCTACGGGTGGAATAGATTTGCTCTAGCCACCTATCTGGACACATCTCATGATTCATTCCGTGCCTTTGTTGGTTGGTTCTGTAGGTGTTTAGGTTTTTAAAAAATTCACCAACACTATATGTGACTATATGTTTGATGTCACGCCCACCCCAACATGGAGTCTCTGAATGTCTCGTCTCGTCTCATGCTGACAACCACAGATCTCAACAGGGTTGTTATGTCATCCATTTTTTTGTTGGACAGCGTATAACAGTTTAAAAACATAGGACCACAACGTCACGTTGCCTGTGGGGAGGGGGGTGGGGGTAACTTCGCCTCCTAATTGGATCTGAACTTTAAAATGTTTTGAACCCCAGCAGGATCGTCGGAAAAACGGTCAAAAACTCGTCAACTCATTATTCTGCAGCATTGAAACACCGCCCACATATCCAATCACAAATGTTTTGGGGTCCAGTCATCCCCGTGTAAGAATCCCTATAGTGGGGTCCTGTCTTCCCCGTGTAAGAATCCTATAGTGGGGTCCTGTCATCCCCGTGTAAGAATCGCTTTGTGGGCCTATGGTGGGCTGGTTATGACGAGGTGGTGGGCTGGTTATGACGAGGTGGTGGGCTGGTTATGACGAGGTGTGGGCCTTTCGTGGTCGGGTTATGACGAGGTGGGGGACGACGATTAGAGTGACGCAGACCCGAAGAGAGTGAAAGGCAAACAAGGGGAGAAAACCGGATGTGGAAATGGAAAGAAAAAGCCGAGAATGAATGATTTTTGTGGAGAGCCTGTCAGTTGCCGAGCCATCAATCAAGGGGGCGCTGTCAGCAAGTCTGTCTCCCCATAATCCCCTCGCCCACAGCAGACGTCGGGGTGGGGGACGGCCGATACCTGAGAGTACATTTATTGATTTCGATACTAATATCGTCTGTTCCATCTTGTTCTTTTCCTTCGCTGTTCAAGATATTTGAAACTCACGTTTGAAAAAGTTTTGAATTAAATAGTTCCAGGTAAATGGTTAAAGATTTTTTTCTATAAAATAATTACTAGGGTTTATTTCATACATTAAACACTCACGTGTATTAAAATAACTATCCTTGTTTATAATTTAATTAAAATCCGTCAGTTGTTCTGATTTTGAAATAGCGCCGTATTGAATGCTTTGTAAAAACAACAAAATATACTTTTACTTAAGTTGTCTGTGAAATAATTAGTTAATCTGCTCGAGTATTTGACCTTAAAATTGGTCGTCAGCAATTAGTGGCATATTCGAATACTGTTGTAATCGTTCGTAGACCAGCACACACAAGGGGAGGTTATAAAATCAATAAGCGCGCCATCAGTTCTTCTCCCCCTCCAGCCGCTAATCATTTGTCACAAAATTGGTGGGCAAACACGGACAATAAAAATAAAATACGGTCGGGAGAGAAATGGGTGAAGCCCTTGGGGAAATGGCAGAAAAAAATGGGGGACAGCAGGAAGGGTTGGGCCAGAAGAGAAATACATCTATGTCATTTTCTCAACAAATCGCACTCGACAACTCCAAGTCGAACTTCTCGACACAAGGCGGACTCAGGCGGCGCGTGGCTTCTGCTAGTCGTCTGATCGCTAGGTCTCACGTCTGCTATTCTCGATGATTCTGTTTTTACGTCGTCGATTTTATACAATTTATGTTTTGGGCATTTGAGTGTGATATTGTTTTAAATCAGTTGAAAAGTGAATTTGTTTTCTAATTTATTTTTAATTTTCAGTCGTTTATATTATTTTTGAAAATATTTCTTTCTTTTGAGTATAAATGTTGTTTTTTTTTTACATTTTAATTTAGATAATCTTTTGTTTTGCAATCTATTTTAAACGTTACTTTACTATATTTTTTCTTCAGGTACTGCCAAAGCAGGAGGTGACGTGACCAATGAGACGTTGGCAGACACAAGTCATGTGACCTCGGACAGCGGGGCTGACGAGGGTGAAGAGGATGGAGAGACAACTTCCGATGAAGAAAACACAGAAGACAAGGCCGGTAATTCTGATAGGGCCAGTAGCAGAACGCCAGACTCTATCGTGAACTCTGACCTCCCTAGAGAGGCAGCAGAGACTGCAGACAAGAAAAACGATGAGCCTCAAGGGGAAGTAAGCACAGGCAAGAAGCGCGAGAAACAAGGGAGAGGACGCTCTCAACTGGAAGAAAGAGTTCCTTGGACACCCCACCTCCCCATGTCCACGCCGAGTGCAGGCAGCAATGCGAACAAGTTCAAATACTCTTCCAAAATCTCAACCCCACTTCTCTCCCCTTCTCAAAGGCTGAGTCTGCCAATTCTGGATCAACAAATGGCACTTGTGATGTCCACCATGCCCCTGGCACTCTTGTCCAGGGGCAAGAACTCTTCCAGCCCTCTCGACTCCAGCTTGAGTTACTTCCCCGTGGCTAGCTCTCACCACACAGAGGAGCAGCCGCTGGATTTGTCCACCAAAACTGAGAAGAGCTCTCCACCTTTGGATAAACCACACCTCCATGATCCACCAAAACTCCACGATCCACCGAGATCCAATTCTTCAAATACCTCAAATGGAATTTCTAGTCTCCAGAGCCTGCAGCAAAGATTTGGCGGAGACTTTCCGCTCGAGCTGTCGCAAAAACCCGGCCCTGCGGTCATACCCCTGCAGTCCAGCCTGTCACACAAAGCAAACACCACACCGCATACCTCAACCTCCATCAGTGACTCTTTGCTGCGGGCATCTGCTGCTAAATCTAAAAATAACTGCAGGTCTGATTGGCTAGAGCGACAGGAACTCCTGTGTTCTCGACTCGCCGCTTCACCGCCCTCATCCAAGGGGGACAACTCCAGACAGTCTTCTCCTTCACTGGTGGACGAGCCAGGCTCTGATGCCAAGCACACAATCCATCGCTGCTCCTGTCAGAAAACTTTCAACACGCTCTACGCCCTCAGTCTGCATCTGCAGGAGACAGGCCACGCCCCGGGGTCAAGTAAAGCTGCATCCCTAATGGACTACCCCAAGCTGGTGCGGGGTCAGGACATGTGGTTGAACCAGGAGTCAGAACAAACCCGCCGGATACTGCGGTGCATGCAGTGTGGGGAGTCCTTCAAGTCCCTGCCCCTGCTCACCGTCCACATGATGCAGACCCAGCATTACACAAAGATCGTCAGCTCGGACCACGGTCGACGGTCGCACAAATGTTCGACCTACTGCGACAGGGAGCTGGACAAGGAGTGTATTTTTAAGTGCAAGGTGTGTCACGAGGCTTTCCCGGACATGGAGGGGCTGGCCAATCACATGATCATCTCCGGCCACCACAAGAAACAATCCTCCCGTCAAAACCAGCTGACCAGCGCCTCAATGTTTGCTGAGGTAGCCGGCGGCCTGGCGTCTATAGCCAGACAAGGCAGGAGGAAGAGATACCTGCCCGACGATGCCGCTCTACTCAGTAGCGCCAGCTCGTCCACAGTGGCCTCCCTGCTGGAGTACAGGCGCAAGCAGGCCTGCGCTAACGGAGACCTGAACGGATTTCATCCTGACCAAAAGGGTAGCCCTCAGGCCAGGTCCCCGGACGCCCGGCCAGCCAAGTTAGTTCTTTGTGATAGCTGCGGCAAGAGAGTGGACATTCAGGACTTTGACAGCCATGTCCGAGCGTGTCTCAAACAAAGGGCTGAGGTTATCGACGCCCTCAAGCTAAAGCTAGCAGCCGAGGAAGCCATCTTGTCTAGATCTGAGAGCAAACTTCTACGGTCTGGCTTTAGCCTGTCCTCGGTGCCACGCTTGCATGAAGACCTTTACCCAGTGCCCAGCTCTAGCAGTAAAGAAACCTTGCCTACACCCAGTGAGACGAAATTCTCCGAGGAAAGAGCCCCGAGTGATGAGATTCACCCAGCAGTCAAAAGTGAGCTGCCGTCTCCGGACAGGAACGTACAACCCAGCCCAGTAGCTCAGCTTTCAGACAACAGCCCACAAACTGCCAAAATATGTGATCTGGTGGAAGTGCCATTAAAGAAGTGGTATTGTTCGAGTGAGCCCACGAGCCAGCAAGAGCCCACAGAAGAGGAGCCAGACAGCAACAAGCACCAACAGAAACCTCAGCCTGTGGACAGCAGCAAACACCAGGAGAAGCCCCAGCCTGTGGTAAAGAAGGAAGAGCCACCAGCAGAAGACAGGAGAACTCCCAGCCCACTGTGTCCGAGGAAAAGAAAACTCTCCAGCTCTAACCAAGAGAAAACACCCGCAGATTCCCATCAGAGGTGTGACACCAACCTGGTCACAGACACGTTTGACGAGTCCCTGGACTTCCAGTCCTCGGCTCTACACAAGCTGGACATGTTCTCGCGAGGGCTCAGGTTCTCCCCGCCCAGACGGAACCTCTCGCCCGAGCCCAAGCTACCCACACACACAGCCCAGCGGGCCAGCAGAAAGAAAGAGTCCAGCACATCTGGGAACAGAAAAGAATTCTCCAAATCCCCAGCGCCCATTTCACCAGCATCCTCACATTTAAAAACAGACTCGCCGGAAACCCCCAAGAAAGAAGTGACGTTCGACATCATTGACCCGAACGCTGTTGCCGATCACAGTGAGACGAAGTCTTCAGCTCTTGAAGCGATGGAGTCTTTTATCCAGAAGAGTTTCAGTGCCAAATCTGACCTGCGCACTTCCAACCTGGCTTCGATGTTCAGCCCGTTCAGGAATTGCTTCCCTCTCCCAGGGACTTTACCAGGGCAGGGTGGGGTCCTACCTGATGTCACCGACCCAGCCATGTCCCACTTTGCCAAATTTTCAAAGTTTTTTCGAATGGTTCCAGGTGTGTCATCGTTTCCAGACGTCAGCCCACCTGTCCTGCACGAAGGACTTTTATCTACCTCAGCGCCCGTCGACCAAAAAAAGTCTGCCGCTCTAGATAAGGCAGCTTTTTACGCCAAAAAAATGCCAAACAAATCCTGCAGTACTTCCTCTATGCCATCTGCCATCAAAGTTCCAGTGGTCAAGCTCCCCCAGGACTCCCCGCTTCACAGCCCCCACGATATCTCAGCGGTCAAGAGGTTATCGGAAAATGTCAGTGCTAAAAAATACAAATACAGCACAATGATTTGCAATGATGTCTCCAATGTGTCTGCTAAGCAAAAATCTGGCAAATTGACTGGCACAGGAAGTGCTTACAAAAACATGTCAGATTTTTCTAAAGAAGAATTGAGATTGCCGTCATCTTCTGAGTGGGAAAGATTAAGGGAAGAGATGCTGAAAAAAAGGAAAACTAATTCAGAGGAAGAAGACTCCTCAAGCGATCCCAAAAAAGTTAACATAAAAGAAGAAAAAGTTGATGCAATCAGCAATGTGAAGGTCAAAGTTGAGCAGTGTTCAGATGATGAAATTGATGATGGTAATGACGACAGGTCTGATCCTGATGGGAAAAAATTATCAGCTGTTCAAACTGGAAAAACTTTTATTGACAATTTTCTTTTCACGCCAGGGCAACGTGGGGATGATGTCCCCTCCCCGGGACATGTGCCTAAGAATGCTGATCCAAAAACCTCGTCTGGTCTTCCTCAGTCAAAAGATGACAGACCAACACTAGATGAGGGGTCCGACAGTAGGCAAACCACGGCCCAACCAGGTCACCGGATTAAGGACGGTGACCGTCTAACCCCTAGGCTAATGAATGAACACACCGATAGAATATCCCCACAGTTTCTCGAAACTAAAGACCAATCTGGCAACCTTGACCAGGAAAATTTTGGCTCAAAACGTGCCAGTAGTTCCAGCAAATCTCAGATGAAATCGTGTAACTCTTCTATAGAGGAGGGCAGTATCGCTGGTGGGGAGAACCTAAACAATAGTAGCCCCAGCTTCAGCAAAGAAAGTGAGAGGTCAGAGGAAGTTTTAAACACCAAAGTTAAAATCAAGTGTGAAGTGGAAAATGACGAAGTGGAGTTCGATAAAAAATGTTTAAAAAGTCCAGGACAATCTAAAAACGAGGCAGAAGCTGCCAGTGTGCAGGAGAATGATGTCAAGCCAGTGCTGACGGCTGTCAATCATGAGGACTCGTGTGGGGGAGAGGAGGAGGAAATGGAGATGGGTGAGATCACCAAAAAACACAGCCATTCGTTTGGTGCCAGTTTCAATGGCCGGGCTGCTGATGGGAGGAAGAGTGGACGGTTAAAATCTGGGTCACCGGCTGGTGGTGGTGGTGATAGGAGGAGGTCAAGGTCACCTCTGCTTGGTGGTCACAAGAGAAGATCAAGGACGCCCGATGGCGGTGCCAAGCGGTCAAGGTCTCCCGCAGGTGGTCGTGACAAGAGATCACCAGCCCCCTCCCCTGCCAGGTCGGCTTCAGAAAGAAACGGTCATTCAGAGAGTCCGTCTGAACAAAAGCAGAAGAGGTCAGCTCTAGATTCACTGAGCTCTTTTGTTTACAGCCAGCCACTGACCAGTGAGCATCCCCTGGACAGTCTCCAGAGGCTCTTGTCCACCAATGACCTGACCCACCTCCAGCACGACCCCCACAAACACCTGGCCTCAGCCTCTTACAAATGCCTGACCCCTGACCTCTCCACCCCCTTGAACCTGACAATGAAAGGGTCTGGTGTGGCCAGTGGGGGGTGCAGCAGTGATGACAATGATGAGGGTGATTCCAATCTGGCAGAAGGTGGGGCCAGTGAAGGGGAGGTCAGCGAGTACAAATGTGCAGCCTGCAACAGAAGGTTCGCCTCCAAGGGATCCTACCGCTACCACCTTAGTCGCTGCCATCTGTCTAGTGTCAAAAAATTTGGCATCAAAGAGGCTTTTAACATGAGCCCTTACGTCTACTTGCCACTGGACCACACCGCCAAATTCTCTAAATATTACCAAATGGCACATGAACTTGCCAATAAAGGAAAGTGAAACAATATTTTGTGAAATCTTTAACCAAGCAAATAGCACTGCCAAATCATTACTCTATGATGTACTCATAGAATATTTCCATCACTAGATGCATGTACAGTACTGTTGTGAAAGTTTTATTTTGTGTGGACTGTTCTGGTCTTACATAGCCTATCCAATTGTCCATAATAAGCTGACCAGTCTTGTTGATTTATAAATGGATGATCTGCTGGGTGGATTATAAATGGATGATCAGCTAAATGGATATTCAATGGATGACCAGCTAAATGGATTATCAGTTGATGGCTAGCTAAATGGATTTTCCTGAGATGATCACCTGACTAATTAATTATCTGGTAAATGTGTTCCATGTTGAGTTTTGTCCTTGTGTTGCACATGATGTTTGGAATTTGTGTTTCCTTAATGCTAGCAGCTGGTCAAAATTCCTAAATTCTAATAATAGCATTGGTCATTGTAGAAAGGCCATACTGCTTTTTTTCTTAAATCAAAATTTTCAAATCTTAATTTGTCTAAATACTCTTAATCACACATTATACAACTGACTAAAATCTAATAGGTTTTTAGGGCTCTGTTAGAAGTTTGTACAGGATGAGGTCTGTAGGCTACTTGATGACCTCACTTAATTAGACCACAGAGGTTTAAGTTAATCTTGAAGTCCTAGAACAAATGTATGATGATTGAAGTTTTTTTTTTCTTTCAAAGATTGTAATTGTGTAAACCACCCAACATATTTTTTATGTTATGAGCATGTACATTCTTGCATTTAATGTGCTACATTATCAAACTGCCTTATTATATATTCTATTTTTCATGCCAAACTGTTGGCTTTGTAATTGTTTGTTTTTTAGTTCTAAAGTGTTACCTATGGTAGGTACAGTCATAAGCAAAGTGGGGTCAGGATTTAAAATTTTAAATAAAGAAATTAAGAGGGTATTGAAAAGAAAATGGTCTCTTTCCCTTCTACTTAGACTAGAGCATCTGATTTGAAATCTTTTACTCAGCTTGTCTAGAGGTTGACAGCAGCCTTGGGTGATGTCTAGCCAATGCTTATTGTCAAGGAATGTTTGTTGAAATATTTTAACTGTGATTTTCTTTTTACAAGTGTTTAATTGCTATTGGTTGAAAAAATGTAAATATTGAATGTCACTGTGACATTATCCTTCTGTAGTAAAATAATACTGAGTACCAATTTTTTTTTACTAGTTTACTAGTAAAGATGAGTATATGACTTTGTTACCCTAACAATTTTTAAAAGGTTGTTATTAGGGGGGGGAGGGAAGATTAATATTGAACAAATGTTAGTTATCTTGCAAACAATGTTTATGATTAGAATTAGGTCCCACAATACTACACATTCCAACTCTAGTCAAATACTTTTGTAGACTCTAGCAAGGTGGGTTTTATTATAGCTGCTTCACATTTCTTTCAGATTTTTACTCAAAAATTTCTTCCTATGCCTGCTTCTCTATGAAATATAAACTATTCACAAAGTTTGACATTTTGTATTATGTGCAGCACGTAGGTTTTTTTTATATTTTATCTAGAAAAAAAACACTTTAAAATGCTCAGTAAATTACAAGAAACTTTCCATGCATATGTTGTGTACCCATGCTACCAGTTTTCTAGCTATGTTTCAGCCAATTTGAAATCCTCAACTTACTTTGATGAGAGCAGCTTGATACCCACTTGACTCCAGTCACTTCCTCTACATCACTTGCATGGTCCCAGTTTATATCAAATATTTTCTAGTATTTTTTAAGCTTATCCAAAATGCTTTTGTACTTTTCATGTAGCTTTATTTTGGACGGTTAATGTTGTAGACTTACAATCTTGTGTATATTTTCAAATTTTTTAATCACTGCAATCATGTTATTGTAATCTAAATCAAGACAAACTGTTTCTAGACAACACTTCAGCTAGACTGACAACACCAGAGGTGATCCTCTCAATCCTCAGAACATGACGCATCACCAGGATTTTCGCCACTTTTGTGATAATGGTCCCAATGACTACACGTTATGTCACTCTTCTACAATTTTTAAAGTCCCAGTTTATTTTTTTTATTCAAAGTGTTTTTATTTTTTACCCACAAACCAAGATGATTGTTGTGTCTGCAAGTAGGTGACAGGCAGACTTTTATGAGTGCTTGAATATAAGCTGGCAATATCCATACTATATATGCAGTTAATGTGTAGATGATAAAGCATGTGGTGAACTTCTTTTATTTATTTGGTTTTTTTTTTACCCTTTAAGAAATCCTATTGTATATTTTTTTTTCTGAAGGTCTACCTAAGCCTATTCCATATAATGCCATATTGTATATACATAATGCTTACAATTGTTATTTATTTTAAAACTATTTGGAATTAACAAAATTGTGGCAAGGCTGTAAAGGTACACAAGTTGCCAGATAAGGTTGATGATTTGAGATGAAGTGGTTAATTATAAGATAAAACCACACCAGGTTTAAACAACCACACAAAAACATCAGTAAGGTGTACAGCATTTATACATCTTTTTAAATTTACTTGGTCATTTTTTTTTTACTATTTGATATTTGATTAGGATGTTGTGTGTTGACTTCTTTAAGTGCAAACAAATTTCATGCTGTAATAAAACATAAAATAAACAATTCTATCTGATATAGAATTTTGTTGTCTCAGTCTAGCTGTGGAGGCTTGTGTTGTTAAAATAATAATTTAAAGTAGTGAATACAAAACAAGACTCAAAAACATGGGAAATAATTTACTTTCAGAAATTACTCCTGTACAAATAAAGAGATCAAATGTGTACAAATGTTGTACACTCATGCCTTTTATATAAATATATTTATATACATTATCTGTTAGTAATTTGTACACATTACAGAAATAAATTTACTGAACATTTTCTGTTGAAGAGAAAAATGCAGTCAACAGGTTATGTATTACTGACAGGAGTTTTACCGACAATTTTAAAATGTACACAAGCTTAGTTATGTTACATCAATAGTGAACATTAAACCAAAATGTCCTTCCAATAGAGTTGAACTTGGTGAATACTGCTTTAACTAGCTTGTGGGGTAGAAATAAAACAACAGGAAATATTTATCACTTTAACTTTAGCACTGCTACAAGTTTTGGTCATTAAAAATATATTTTAGAAAACAACCATATCAAACTTTGCGAGTTCAAATAAATATATTTATATATAACATTACAGAATTTAATTTTTAAAGTTTTACAGATTTTGTACATTATGTATAAAATTATTTACACGTAACAAACACGAGTCAAATACACAGAAACATGTTAAACACACTCCTGATCTTGTTTGGTTTAAGAAACATGTTTCAAGGAATGTATCCAGTTTACATGTTTTAAAATACTGTTTCATGGCCCTTAAAATCATGTGTTCTAGGGCCATTAAATTTTTAAGTATTCAAAGACTTTCTCATTTCATTACCATGGACAAATATTACCGGTACAGAGAAGAAGGGCAAGAATAATTACTTAAACTGTTTCTTAAAATAACTATAGAGGAAAATATAAATTTGAAACACATTATTTAACATGACCTTTAAACTCTTTAACCTTTAAACAAATAAACAGTAAAGGACTATGCAATTTTAGTGTCATCTTGGATGGAGCATTACTGGACAGTGTGATTCTACAGGGAACTACTGGACAAAGAGGTGTCAACATGTGTAGGGAACTAGTGGACAAAGTGATGTCAACATATGTAGGGAACTACTGGACAAAGTGATGTCAACATATGTAGGGAACTAGTGGATAAAGTGATGTCAACATATGTAGGGAACTACTGGACAAAGAGGTCATCCTCTGCTAAATCCATCCCCACATGCTCCATGCCAACGACACCTGCACCATTAGCCTCCCCTCCCAATCCCCCTTGACCCTCGTCTAACACAGGATGTCCTCCAACATCTTGACCAGCCTGTCCAGGTTCTCCTGCAGCCCTGGGTATGTTCATAGAACTGACCATGTCAGCATGGTGAGCCCTCTTGATGTGGGTCTTCAGGTTTCCACTCTGGACAAATGAAGAAGGGCAGTATGGACACAAGTGAGGTTTTTCCCCACTGTGTTTCCTCAGGTGAACCTGCAGGGCATTTTTCTGGTTGAAAGCTTTACTGCAGATGTGACACAAGTATGGCCGCTCTCCTGTGACAGAAGTTTAGAATAAGTACATCAACATTTAAATCTAAATCAACTTAAAGTGCTAAAGAGCTTTTGAACAAGGGTGAAAGTTGAGTTTTAAGCTACACTCATCATCCCATTCCCAAGCTACACACAAAGAGTTTGGCTATACGTTCAGTCAGCTCTAGTGGTGTTTTAAGCAGATACTTATTCTATAACAAACAACACGAACATTATCTACACAACATCTAGATTAAATTGTGACCTCTGACCTGTGTGTATTCGCATATGCCTCTCCACCTGACTGGGCTTCTGGAAAGCCTTGTCACAGACGTGACACTTGTGTGGCGTGGCCTTGGGTTTCTTCTGCACTGGCCCAGATACATGGGTGTTGATGTGTTCTTTAAGGTGGGCAGCTCTCTTGAAACCTCTGTGGCAATACTGGTATAAACAGAGAAAATATCAGATGGATAAACAAAAGTATTTTTTTAAAAAACTATATTGCTATACTGGGTTGGACAGAGGAAATAGATGGATAGACAAAAATATTTTTTTAAAAACTATTGCAATACTGGGTTAGACGAATATCAAATATCAGATGGATAGACAAAACCATAAGAAGAAAAAAACTATATCGCAATACTGGGTTGGACCGAATAAAGATTAAAATTATCAAAGCTATCAAAACTAAATATGAGCAAAACTCAGTAAATAAATGAATCAGAAATCTAAATTTATTATTGTTTAATATTCACTAGTCACAGAAGTAGCACTCTTTTTACATTTTTCAATCATGTTTAATTACCAGGAATCAGTCATGTTTTTCACAAACTTTTTACATAATGAGTTAGCGTTTAGGTCTACGATTAGTGTGTAACAAATTGCCAATAAAGTCAATTTCACAGAAAGTAAAGTAGATGACAAAAAAGTTGATTGGTAGAAACTGTCGGAAAGGTGCTTAATGTGGAGTAGGCTAGTTGAAAGTATGAGGTTAAGCTACACCAAATAGGTCTGACTCGCATGACTAATGTGCTGCCTGCATGTTGAAAATATGAGGTTAAGACTTACACCACAGATATGCTATCTGTTGAAAGTATGAGGTTAAGACTTACACCAAATAGGTCTGACTCGCATGACTAATATGCTGCCTGATTGTTGAAAGTATGAGGTTAAGACTTACACCACAGATATGCTATCTGTTGAAAGTATGAGGTTAAGACTTACACCACAGATATGCTATCTGTTGAAAGTATGAGGTTAAGACTTACACCACAGATATGTTGTCTTTCTGTGTCTTCTTGTTGAGACTCAGCCTCAGATTTGGGTACAAGTGTATTGTTATCTACATCTTCATCATCATCTTCTTCCTCTTCATCATCCAGAGCGTTGCCATGGTGACCCATGCTTGGGTTCTGATCCTTTTTTATAAATAAACAATATTTTCTAGTTGTTAGAAGGAAATAGTAGAAAAATATGTGTATTAGAATTGAATTCATGGAAATGGGCTTTTGTTTTTAATTTTCTACTGCACTGTCCTCTCAATTACTGACCAGCTGAGCAATGTTGACCATCCTTGTGTCCTCTGGCAGGCTAAATTTCTGATCATCTTCGTCCATCAAACTCAGATCTTGCACAGATCCCTGTGGGTGGACATTGACCGCTTGCACAGTCAACCTCTGTAACACAAAGTTTAGTTTAGCCAAGGTGACCAACACATTTTATAAGGACAATCACGCGTGTCTAATGTATATTATTTTATCTACTTACTTTCAGCTAACACTTATTTGTGTTTTAATTTCATTACCCAAATTAAAAACAAAAATATGGAAGTTACACTGAGGGAACTATTGGTTCTTTAAACTGTGTTGAACTTAAATCAAGTTTTCAATATGAAGCGACCATGTTTGCTCATGATGAAACTGTAGACAACCTATAGAGACTGAAGTTTTCAATATGAAGCGACCATGTTTGCTCATGATGAAACTGTAGACAACCTATGGAGACTGAAGCTTTCAATGCGACCATGTTTGCTCATGATGAAACTGTAGACAACCTATGGAGACTGAAGCTTTCAATGCGACCATGTTTGCTCATGATGAAACTGTAGACAACCTATGGAGACTGAAGCTTTCAATGCGACCATGTTTGCTCATGATGAAACTGTAGACAACCTATAGAGACTGACCTGGCCATCACTGGTGACAAACGTTGTGTTGCCCAGGTTGAGAGCCTGGGGATTCCCCTGCTGATGTCCTTGTAGGGCAGATATTGACTGGACGATGACAGGGTGGACTGTATCCCCCATAGAACCAGACTGAAGATGAACAATATGAGCACATTATCACACCCAGTCTTACTACCAATAATGTCTTGCATTATACAATACAACCTTTACAGTCACCAAACCAGCAGATAATAAGTTGAGTAAAGTTAGCTAACCTGAAGCTGTATTCCTTGGATAAGAGTGTGCTCCCCTGCAGTGGTTATGACCCCATCACTGTATGTTATCTGTCTCCCCAACAGAGCCTCAGGGACACTCATCAGCCTGTCCTGGCCAACCACAGCGTCTGACACATGCACAGTGCCCTGGGGGAGGTAACTGTCTTGTGATGAATGGACTGACTGACCAATCAGGGAATCTGTTATATGCAGCCTGCCAGACTGCTGGCTAAGTAAGGCGTCAGACATGCTGTGAGATCCCATCATCTATGGTAAGACAAAAAATGTGAATGATTTAATAAGTAAAGTATATAATGGTTCAAGGCCAAGTACTTTCAACACAACATTGATGCCAAACATTGGTTCAACTAAAAAAACAATGAGACACAAGTTAAGATAAACCAACAGCCACACCCCAACACACCTTGCCAATAGAGTGGATCTGCACAGGTTTGGTGTCCTGCTGTGAAACAGAGGTTGTCCCCCCTTGAACAGTCTGCACCATCAGGGCCTCTGAGTTTCTGATCTGGGCCATGAGCGCCTCGGAGACCACAATAGTCTGTCCCATCAGTTCATTGCCATGAGACACTGGGAGAGTTGGAATATAGCAAATTAGCACAAGGTCAAATCACCAAAAAAATCAAGCTGTAGTCAATTTTCTTCACGGAGATTTTTTTGTATCACAAAATTTTGCAAAGTTTAAGATATGTATCTCCCACCAGTGTACATTCTGAGCGTACAGTTGATAGTTCAGGCACGAGGTTCTTACCTTCATGTTCTTGCAGCCCTTGCTGGCTCATCACGACCCCGTGGGTGATGTCTGACCCCACCTGGGACAGGTCAGCTGTCAGGGTCGGCTGGATGCCACTGGGGTTGATGGCGATAAAACCGTTCTGTTGTAGCTGCTGTAGAACACTGGCGTCAATCTGGACCTGGACAAATACATGGGACTAGTGGTCAGTTAAAACATCATCAATATAACAGCTGAATCAATCTGGACCTAGACAAATACATGGGACTAGTGGTCAGTTAAAACATCATCAATATAACAGCTGAATCAATCTGGACCTGGACAAATACATGGGACTAGTGGTCAGTTAAAACATCAATATAACAGCTGAGTCAATCTGGACCTGGACAAATACATGAGACTAGTGGTCAGTTAAAACATCATCAATATAACAGCTGAGTCAATCTGGACCTGGACAAATACATGGGACTAGTGGTCAGTTAAAACATCATCAATATAACAGCTGAGTCAATCTGGACCTGGACAAATACATGGGACTAGTGGTCAGTTAAAACATCATCAATATAACAGCTGAGTCAATCTGGACCTGGACAAATACATGGGACTAGTGGTCAGTTAAAACATCATCAATATAACAGCTGAGTCAATCTGGACCTGGACAAATACATGGGACTAGTGGTCAGTTAAAACATCATCAATATAACAGCTGAGTCAATCTGGACCTGGACAAATACATGGGACTAGTGGTCAGTTAAAACAATACAACAGCTGAATCAATCTGGACCTGGACAAATACATGGGACTAGTGGTCAGTTAAAACATCATCAATATAACAGCTGAATCAATCTGGCCCTGGACAAATACATGGGACTAGTGGTCAGTTAAAACATCAATATAACAGCTGAGTCAATCTGGACCTGGACAAAAATATGGGACTAGTGGTCAGTTAAAACATCATCAATATAACAGCTGAGTCAATCTGGACCTGGACAAAAACATGGGACTAGTGGTCAGTTAAAACATCATCAATATAACAGCTGAGTCAATCTGGACCTGGACAAAAACATGGGACTAGTGGTCAGTTAAAACATCATCAATATAACAGCTGAGTCAATCTGGACCTGGGGAAAGAAATGGGACTGTCAGATAAAACACCATCAATGTAACAGCTCAAATGGGGGGGGGGGGGGGTGGAGAGAAAAATCAACTTACCGCCTGCTGCAGTAAATTATGGTCAAGACTGGTCAGCTGGAAGCCCTGGTTCAACTGTGAGAGTGGTGCGGTGATGTGAAACTGGAAGGATCCATCCAAGCCTTGGAGTACCTGAAGTTTACACAAGTTTCACAGTTACACATACCTGACAATTTACTCAGTGTTTTAGTAAGCTACCATAATAGGGCTAAATGTAAGTAGTACACAACTACATGCTGAGCATATCAACTACTTAACCAGATAAAATTATGTACCTGTGTCGGCATTGAGGTGCCATCTGACATGCCATCTGTCACTGACAGCTGGACTGGCATCATGGTTGCATTCTGCAGCAATGACTGGTCAACACTGATGACCTGATTGGCCATTGATTGGTCAACAACCTAGGAAATAAAAGCTAGTTCTATACCAACCTCTCTACAACCGTATGGCTAAATACCATAAACTAATTCCTAAACAGATACATAAGTCACACAGTAGTAAAAACTAAGCAGTTAATAAAATTTTCAGAAGATTGAGATGAAAGTAAAAAACAAAATGTCCTATTTACTTGTGGTAAACAAAGAGCCTACCTGGCCAGATTGATTCTGTTGAGGGCGGGTGAGGATAAACAAAGGCTGCTGGACAGTGTTGTTCTGTGATGATGCAATCAAGGGCTGACCTGTGACTTTGGGGGATTTCTTCTTGTTTGAGCCTTCAGCTAAATCAGGAAAGTTAGTCAGACATTATTTTAAAACAATTTTTGATGAGCACAAAATGTAGTTGTATTAAATTCAATCGGTTTTAATTTTTTTTGTCTCATTGTAAACAGGTAATGTATTTTTTAAATCTATGAATTAATAGAAAAAAGAGACCAACACAACAGTGAGACCCAACACAACAGTGAGACCAACAGAACACAACAGTGAGACCAAGACAACAGTGAGACCAAGACAACAGTGAGACCAACACAACAGTGAGATCAACCTACGTCTGAGATGAGAGATCATGTGACTTTTTCTGTGGCCTGATGTTCTGAACTTGAGGTCACAGTGAGTACACTTGAAAGGTTTAGCTCCGGTATGCAGACGCATGTGAACCTTAAGACTGCCTTTGGTGGAAAACATGGAGTTGCACACATGGCACAAAAAGGATTTCTCAACTGAAACATCAAGAAATGTTCATGTCAGAAATAGTTTTAAAAACTTAGAAAACAAGGACTTTTTCATTTTACGTATATAATGCAGTTTTAATTTTTACACAAATGGTCTATCTCTGAAAAATGGCTTAAAACAATAAGCAAGTAGTTTTCCTATTAAGACTTAAAATGTACATATTTAGCCTGCTACAATTCACTAGTTAAAATGAGTTTCCTAACTGTTAGCACCTACCAGTTTTATGTGTTTTCATGTGCGAGTCCAGGGTTGACTTGACAGTAAAAGATCTGTGACAGATGTCACAAATAAATGGCTTCTCCCCCGTGTGTATCCTCAGGTGGCGCTGGAGATCACTTGGCTTTTTAAAACTTTTGGGACAATGGGAACACATGTTGGCAAAACGGCCATGGCGAAATGTTTGGTTCTGTACATCCTGTCAGTGGAAATTTGAAACATTTTTTTTCCATGTTAAAGTACAATTTATTTAACAGTTAATGAAGGAAAAATATAAAAATACGAGCCGACCCGCTGCGTATCATACGCCGCTATTCAGTTGTTTTATTTTCTACTTTTCAGTAATTCATAATTTGTGAATTCGACAGTACCAATGCTGCCACTGAAAATATTTGCTTTAAAACACTACCCCCCCCCCCCTCAACCCCTACCATACACCCCCCCCCCCCCCCATCTGAAAGCAGCCTCCTCTTAGTTACCTCCTGTAAGTTTAAAATCGTTTCAAACTAAATTATCTGCCCCTAATAGCCGTCAACAAACCCAGCTCTACGATTTGTAAACATTTAGAGTGAACCACAACTCACCAGATCATGTGGGGGTGGGGTGGGGGTGGTAGTGATAGAGAGGAAGAGAGGGGACTGCAAAGGCGCGCTTGCAGCTTGTTTTCTAACGGCTCCCAGAAGAGAATTATATATATAGATAAAGAACACGAAAACAACTCAGTGTTTAACTCTGGTTACTTACTTTTGGCATACTAATACGGTCTTTCTCTGATGCAGATTCCATCAGTATTTTTTCTGAAATGGACACCTGTTCTTCAGAAAACTGCTGCTGGACGACACTTTTCCTGCGAGGTCCGCGCTTTTGTGGAGCCTGGTTTTCATCATTCATCTTGGTCACAGTAAAGGATATAGGGTAGGAGGCTGCAGGGATAAAACAATTATTTTGCTTTAAAATCTAACAGCAATTTTACCTTACTTCCCTCTTATAATTTAACTAACATCTTGTTAATACAAAACTAAACCTCTATATCAGATAATTTATCTTGATTGAAAGGCTAAAGGTACCAGTATGAGATTATATGTTCGTTAATTTTGTTTTGCCCATCTTACAACAACTCTAGGCTACTAAAGAAAGCAACACTTTTGTTCTGAAGTAAGAAGCCGATGTATCATATTGTATGAAAACAGGCTATCAAATCTTACTTTGACAGTCTTTCATGTGTCGCCTAAGCACAGCTGTATTCCTGAACTGTTCGTTGCATGTGCTGCACGTGTGTGTGACATTCTTGTACCCATGCTGCAGGGCATTCCTGCGGGAAACAAATGTTGAGGTGTAAGTCTCCACTGGCTTGTTTGCTGAATGGGTGCGCTGGTGGGTCTTCAACAGGCTAGCGGTAGAAAAACTTTTGGTGCACTCTGCACACTGGAAGGACTTGACAGATGTGCATGTCTTCATGTGTGCATTAAGGTGGGTCACACGTTTGAAGATTTTCTGACAAAGGCTACAGCGAAGTCCCCTGCGCCCGGCAACTTTGGACATGTCTTGTTCAATCTCTAGACCTTCATCTTCTATGACAGGCTGCTCTTCTTGCTCATCTTCCTGCTGGCTTTGTTGGATGGAGGACATCTCATCCCTGTAAAGTCATTGAACAATTTAGTCATAAGTATCATAAAGATACTTCTTAAATAAATTTCATGTCCCACAATGTAATGTTTACATAAACACTTCTTTTTTAAATTTCAATTTGCCACAATGCAACAAAAACTATTAATGTTAGTGATGAATGACCACTTGAGAGCAGGAGAGAAGCTAAAGCTGGTGATATTTTTGTGACTAGGGGTGTTTTAATGCCCCATGTAACCTACAGCATCTGGAGAGTAGTCTGTTGCTGTCCAAAACTGGTGGAGAAATCAGTTTGTCCTGTGTGGTTAGACTTCCAACTCTCGTCCTGTAACATAGACACAAGAAACAACAACTCAATGGATGAAGTCATCAAGAGAGATAACTAGAGAAATAACACATGGAAAGGGAAGTGACTTTAGAATACATTCCTAAGAGAGATAACTCCACAAACAACATCCATCCAACATCAACAGTCAGTAAATATCTGAACAAATCAAGCAGAATTTCTACATCACACCACCTAGTCAGAAAGAGAAGAACAAAAGTATTAAAGAACAGTGAGCAAGTATCTTTACCTTAACTTCCATCTGATCTCTGTTGGGTTTTTCTTCATCCCCTTGTCTGCTGGACTGGCTAGTCAACTGGACAAACTGATGCTGGTTGACCAGGGTGAAGTTGTGGCCAAACAACTAGAACAAAGACCAAATTTACAGTTTTAGTAAAATATTAGAAACTGTCTTAGTAAAATACAGACTACACTTATTAAAATCCCTACAGCATAATAATGTTGTAAGGTGTTTGTTAAGCTGACCAAGCAAGATAAACTGTTCTAGTAACCAAGTTTAAAAGGTTACCTCCTGTCCAAATGACTGCAGACGTGAGTTGAGTGAGAGAGCATCTCCTGAGACACCACCTGACTGCAGGTCAGGCTGAGTCAATTCCACAACCTACAAGTACAAACAAGTTATCTTTTACCATTTTCTTCATTCAAACTTTTCCATTCCAACGTACTCACATTTAACTAGAATTTACTTGTAGAAACTGGTCAAGCGGATTTACCTTGTTGTCAGTGCACCATACCTGCATGTCTGTCTGGTTGACCGTTGCCGTCTGGCCAATGTCCTGCTCCTGCAGGACATCCAGGTCAGTCAGCCCCTGGGGTTCAGCCATGCCATCCTCCTCTGTCATCTCTGTCTCATCCTCCTCTCTCCCATCTCCCACCTCTCCTGACCCTGCTGTCCCATCTCCTTCTTTCACAGTCTGGTAATGCTGCATGGCCAACTCGTGCCTAAAAATTTTTAAAGATCATTAATATATCTGTTTTTGTTACTATGACATATGAAGAGATAATGTGGTCAGGTCTTGCTTATCTACCTTAACTTGACTAACAAAAGTCAGGTACTCATCAGAGTTGACAGGGATGTCCTACTGACTAGTCAAGGATATGTCAACTACACTTTTGGATAAGCCATCATGTGCTTTATTTCTCTACCCACCACTACCAATTTTTATCCATTTCATGTCTAGGTATATTTTTCTAATTTCATAACAGTGCTCCCTTGCTTTATTATGCATAGATAACGAAATATACAAAATCAATAACACTAGAAAGCCATTTATGCATAGTATCAAATTATAACCCAATACTAAATCAAATTGTATAACTAACTCAAAATTAGATTTTGTATGGTACCAAAAAATATGTGTAAACCTGAATAAGATAAAAATGTCAACTGACCTGTGTGTTTTCATGTGTTTTTTACAGTTGACAGATGTCTTGAATGTCTTCTGGCAGTATGGGCACATGAAGGGGCGGACATCACTGTGTGTGGACATGTGTCTCTTCAGGCTACCCCCAGTGGTGAACATGGCATCACAGACCAAACACTTGTGGGTCTTAACCCCAGAGTGGGTCCTGGAGTGGGCTTTAAGCACTCCACTGGACACAAATGACCGCTGGCAGATACCACATCTGTATGGTTTTTCTCCTGGAAAAATTAAACAGTTATTAAGGTAAGTTAGTTTCTGCTTTTGAAAACAGTATTTTTTATGATCAAAGTCTTGCTTAATACAATTTTGATTAAAAAAAGCTATTCACTTGAAACCAAGAGTTGTACAAAGAAATGTAATAAACTTGTATGTGACTTATTTTTGTCAGTGTAAAATACCTGTATGTGAACGGACATGTTGTTTGAGATGGCTGGATTTCTTAAAGCCACGTCTGCAGTGTGGACATTTGTATGGACGTTCTGGGTTTCCTGTTTCACTAGAAAACTGGGGGAACATTGAATTCCTGGGGGCCGGCTGGATCAGACCTGTTTAAAGTAAGTTGATTTGTAGATTCAGCTAGATTTTAAAACACATCCAAATGGATATGTATAATAAAGATGAAAATTATATAGTACTTTTGTGCATAATAGTTGGGGTTTCTCCAAGAATTAAAAGAAATTTCTAGTTCCTTTGTTTTTAGGAATTAATGTTTGACAAATCCCAATAAAAACTTCTTGTAAAAACACCATTAGGCAAACATTGTTTGGGTTCATTTATATATGCAGAATGCATGTAAAAAAAAATAACGTTTAAGAGAAAGTAGGCATAGTGTTATCACAAGAGTCCATACCAGCATCTGTGATTAGAATAGGTTCCTGCAGAGCTATCTCTGTAAGGAGTGCATCATTCCGACTCTCTCTCTTAAAGGGACGTCTTTGTCTAGGTGCACTCTCTGGGTCTTTGAAGTGAGACTGGATGTGTGACTTACAGTGGGCTGATGTACGAAATGTCTTTTCACAATGACTGCAAGGAAATGGCTTGGCTCCTACAATTAAAAAAAATTTCTAAATATACCATAGACAAGCAGTATTTGTATTGAAATTTAAAACACATTTATATTCTACACAATAAAAAATCCTGGCAGCTAATGTGAAGCAAATACAGCTGACATAAATGTATCTTAGAATAAATATTTGACTGACCAGTGTGAAGACGCAGGTGAACTTTAAGACTGCCTTGTGTAGAAAACATCTTGCTGCAGACCTCACAGCGAAATTCTTTCAGCCCAGTGTGAGTTTTGATGTGTGCTGTTAGTGTGCTCTTTACAGCAAAGGCACGGAAACACTGAGTGCATTTGTACGGCTTCTCGTGGGTGTGAATACGAATGTGCCGCACAAGGTCACTCGGCTTTTTGAACTCTTTGCTACAATAGGTACACTGGTGCCATCGTATCCCATTGACCTGAAAAAATAGCCACATTGTGAACTGAAAGGAATCATTGACTAAAAAATGACCATCTGTAAGAAGGATTAATCTAACTCTAAAAGACCAGTAATTTTAGCAAATGACTTTCTATATGTAGGGCTACTTTTTTAACCCCACAGGACCAGTAATGTTAGCAACTGACCTTCCGTATGTAGTGCCTCTTGAGTAACCCTGTGGCTGAGTCATGCACAGCCATAGTACCAAGCCGAGGGAAGCCGTGACTTTCACGAAGATTGACTGTATTGGTGGTGGACGTTGGGGCTCCAGATGACACAGTGACCATCACAGAATTGGTCATTTCTTTGTCTGTGTCATGGTCATCATCCACAGCATTTTGTAGACCGCTGTTTTCTAAGGCTTGCTGCAAAATGTCTGAGGCACCCTGTAAAATTGTTGTATGTTTAAACATTCACTTGTTTTCAGATAAACATAAACTTTAGGTGTCAGGTAGAATATAAGTCCAGTACATGAAAGACAAAGTAATGGAATTTACTCAGGTAGGATTTCATAAGAGGGACTCATTACTCTCAGTAAAACAAAGCCAAGCATAAATACATGTATCATACAGCTTTTAGCTAGTCAAAAACCTGTACTGAAAAAATTACTAGAGTGACCAACATCCTACTATTAATGAAACTTTGTTTATTTTCTAATTTATAATGCATTTAAAATCAAGTTATTATAAAGTAATTTATGTTTGTTTTTGTTTTCTACTTTTGTAAAGATGTAAGAATAAGTGATATTTAAGGTTTTAAAAAAATTAGAACTATAATTACTCTTTCTATGCAGATTATTCTGGAACAGACCCCTCAAATAAGAAAAGAAGACAGCTTTGTACCTGATCAATTTATAGCTGCTACCATTCTCTTACAATATATCTCTCTACACCAGTGTCTTCTGCAACTTCCTAGCCCCTCTAAGATTGTAACCATTTCCCATGAACACCAGCTCACCGGGCGGAGCAAGTCATAACAACCTTTGTTATCTCCCTATTTATAATGAATTTTTATTTATATCTAATTTAAAACTTTATTAAACAGTAATAAGATATTCTTGTAGTATCATATCAGAAGAGCTTATATGGAAAACTTGAATGAAATCGCTTGATAATAAATAGGTAAAAATTTAGCAAAGAAAGATATCAACCTGGTCAAGAGAGCCGTGTATGACCTGGCCATCAACCAGAGATGCCCCAGTCAGGCTGCCATGGTCTAGCCCCAGCACATCCTGCATCATAGATGAGTCATTCATATCTGTCAGTTGTAAGGAATGGGAATGCAGTGGCATCTTGATGTCCTGCACTGTTGTTTGGTTGGAATCCTGAAAGAAAATTTCATGTCTTGCTAGAAAATAATTTTTAAACTTTTGTATGTCTGAAAAAGATATGAGTGCGAAGAAGATGACCGTAAAACCACATAAGATAATAGCAGAGAATAAGGTAAAATAAAACAACTGACAAAAACACCAGATGAGCAGAGAATGTCATAAAATATTAACTCACCCCATGGTCAGCATGGGCTCTGCTAATGTGAGCATTTAGGGAGCCAAGTCTTCGAAATTTGCAGCTGCACTCTTCACATTCATATATCATGCCATGCTCTTCTTTGTTGATATCATGAACTCTCTGAGGATAAAACATTCCATTTTTTTAAACTTTTATCAATAGTTATTTTTAACATGTTGATAAATCATTTCTTTTGTTTGATTCTGGTCTTTGTAAAAAGAGGTAGGGGAGATAATAAATTTCAGAAAAGCAATTTTTAGAAACTCTCTAAATTAATTTTTTTATTATTGGCTATTAGATAAAGAGGTAAATGAAAACCCCAATTAAAATTCTAAAATTAATTGTGAAAAAAAATTGACTAGCCATAAAATCTAAACAATATTTTTTTCTTGATCAGCAACACATCAACCATACCACGTAAACAACAAGTTACTCTTCTTGACTGTCATGGCCAATGTACCTGTATATGAGAACGCAAGTTTCCTTTCTGTGCAAATGTCATTGGACAGAATTCACATTTATGCGGGCGTGCTCCAGTGTGTTTTGTCATGTGCATCTGCAATGCTCCCTTTTGGTTAAATGTTCTCGGACATATGTTGCATTTAAAAGGCCGCTCACCTAAAATTAGTACCAATAATAAAATATGTTTTTTATAGCAAAAAGACATACATAAATATTTTACAAATATTACAAAGCATTAGAGATAGAAGATAAAAAGCATATTGTTAATGAATAATTTTACCAACATGGTTTGCCAATAGAAGAAAATAAAAGAAAATTTAGTTTAACTTTTTTTCAGTGAGAAAATAAACAGTATTTATAATATCAATCAACTATTCATTTTTATTAAAAAGTTATTGAACAATACACAATTAATAATAAAAAATAAAAGGTTAGAAATAGTAATGTCAATTGAAATGATTATGCTAACAAAAGATTAGAATTGTGCCCCTACCTGTGTGTATCCTCTCATGACGTTCTAGCTGACTGGGTTTCTGAAATGTCTTGGTACAGGTCTTACACTTGTGTGTAAACCCACTTCTGTCAACATTTCGCTTGTAATTTCTGTGGTGGAGTGAAGATCTAAGGGAAAAGAAAATTTATAAATATCACTTTGTGCTTGCAGTACATGTTTTTTGTGGGGAAACTGTGAATAAAGTGTTTTTTTAATACAGTACAGGTACTAAACATGAAAACACTGTAAACTGCATCATGCTAATACACAAGCTCAACCAATTTTAGTGCAAAAAATACTAAAAACAAAACTTCACAACAATATCTTAGATGGAAATTATCTTATCTTTGTTAAAAGTGTCAAAGGTAAACACTCCCATTAGGTGCCCACAAGTGTAGCAAAGCTTGCATTACTCTATCAAAGCAATGACTTACTTGACCCTGTAATGCAGTTTCATGTGCTCCTTCAGCAAGGCCATCTTAGTGTACTCCTGGCTACACTGGCGACACTGGTAGGTCCTCATCCCTTCACTCTCTTGCCTGTGTTCCTGGAGGTGTTTATCTAGTTGATGCTGTAAACACCACCAGCAAATAGTAACAGTACTAGGAAACGTACATCATTTAAATTAAAAACACATAAGTATTATGGTTTTGGCTGTTCCCTTAAGCAATTCATGAATGGTAAAAGTACAACTATTCATTTTATTGTAAGTTTTCATGAACACTGAACTGAATATCACATCTGTAGAAAACCACTTAACTAACTTACTGCTACGAAGATCTCACCTGAACACTAAACTCATCACCACATTCAGGACACATCAAATTCTCTTCTTTTTCATGCAACATTATATGAGCTTTTAAACTGGCAACGCGTGAAAACTTCTTCCCACACTCCGGGCATATTGGGTCACGGTCTGGTCCCACATGGGTGGCCAGGTGCAGCAGCAGGTTGTCCTCAATATTGTATGACATGGGGCACTGGTTACACCTAGCAATACAAAATAGTATGTTACTTCAACATAGTCAAAGGACATCATCTATCTCTAAACAAAGACAAAAAATTACCCATTTACCAACCTAAAGGGCTTGTCTTCATCATGAGTCTTTAAGTGCCTCTGAAGCTGATTCCATTTGGCAAATATTCTCCCACACAGACTACAGTTAAAGGGACCCTAAGAAGTACACATGACATTGTTAATGTATTTTAAAAGATTCACACATCTCAAATAACACTTAATCTATCAGCTTATAATTTGTATAAAATGATAATCTGGAAGAATGTACGAGAAATACTTACTTTTCCTATGGGTGGTTTAACATCAATAGGCTCCATGGCCTGTTGCACACTAATCTGATCCATGATAGGTTGCTCCAAAACAACTTGATGACACTGCAATCAGAAAAAGGTTGTAAACATGACTTAGGTGCTGAAATTTACTGCTGAGGTAGGCGATGCCTATTTATATTTGTAAATTTACCCAAATTAAAAAATAGATTGACAATGTACATATCTTAAATTTTGAAGATGAAACTATTCAAAAAATGACTTACTTGCTGAAGATCGATGTTTCCATCAGACAGAGTTTGATGAACTTCAATGGGTCCACTGTCAAATATTTGACTAGAGTCAAATAGTGAAGGATCAATAAAGGCAACAGTGGTGCCATCTGGAAGTGACTGTAAACTGTGCAGACCCTGTATTGCTTGTAATGATTGTTCAAGTCCACCCACATGGCTGATATATGCATAATCTGAGGGGTTAGGGCAGGGGATAAGAAAATGTATGGTTCATTTAAGACATTTTTGATAAAAATAAAATACAAGATATTTTGACTCTGTCAATGTATACTTCATATTTTTTTTAATTCACGTGAAGGAAGTATGGCTGCTCAAATGCTGTAGATCACAGTTTAGAAGTATTACCAAAAATTTTATTTCTTGGAGTAGTGTGGTTTGAAAGTCATGTATACTTATAAATATTATTAAAGACGAGCCGACCTGCGGCGTTTCACCGCTATTTAGTTGTTTTATTTTCTACTTTTCAGTAATTCATAACTTGTGAATTCGACAGTACCACTGCTGTCACTGAAAATATTTGCTTTAAAACACTATCAGTAAGTCGTTAAGGACGATAACCCCCCCCCCCCCCAATGAAAGCAGCTTCCTCTTAGCTACCTCCCCTAAGTTATCTGCCCCTAATAGCCGTCACTAAACCCGGCTCTACTATTGTAAACATTTAGCACGAACCACAGCTCACCAGACTTCCTAGAGAGGAAGAGAGGGGACTGCAAGGCGCGCTTACATCATTTTTTCTAACGTCTCCAAGAAGAGAATTATATATATATATATATATAGATCATGTACATTTTATTTAACACAAAGAGGATGGGCTGGCATTTTAGCTCATTCTCTATGACATTTCATGTTGTCTGCATGAAATAATGTATCCTTGGTAAAGGACTTAAACAGCTGAAAATATAAATAAAACATGCTTGTTTCTTTCGTGTCTGTTCTAACAAGCTCTGCGGCTAGTGTTAAAAATAATTCATGCCAGCTATCTGTGATCCTGAATGAAGTTTTCTTAGACTAGACCACCACTTTCACCCAGGCAATCAATTTTCTCAAGGGGGGGGGGGGGGAGATACCTTGTAAAGCAGATTGTTTCTTTTTTGTTTGTTAGAATCAGCCTACCTTTTTAAAAATGTCTATATTAAATTTTACTGGGGTCGAAGATCACATTTTAAAATGTAAATAAGGGTTGCCACCCAAAAAAGGTTGGGAACCTTTGATCTAAATATTGTTTATTAGGCCTAGCTAGTCACAATATTTTGGCTGTCACCACTCATCAATCTTGTTGAAAGCTAATTCAATTGTAATAGATCTAGATCTAGAGATCTAGTAGTAGGTTCTAAATCACTTCCTGTAACTAGTAATAGTACCTATTAGATCTAGAGATCTAGATCTAGAGTTAATTTTCATTTAGGTTTACTTTAAGTAGCCTGACTGTTTTCATAGATCTAGAATCTAGATCTTGATCTAGACTCTAGATATCCCCATTTCAATTTTCTTCAATGATGGGATTATCATTCTAAAATCTTAATGTGTTTAATCATAAGTTTAAAATGATTAATATAAGAAGTTAGGCTAGTGAAGATCCAGTTAGGCCTTAGATTAGTAGATCTAGATGTAGAATCTAGATTTCTAGACTAGATCTCTAGATACTAGATCGTAGATTCTAGAAGTCTCGATATACAAGTCTAGAAATCTAGATCTAGAGTATTCTAGAGTCTAGATTTCTAGAATCATCACAAATAATCGTGTTTTGTTTTTGTTACAGAGAGACGGTTTATAAAAAAAAAAGAAATGAAAAGGAAGTGGGCGATGACTAGGCCAACTCCTCGTTAGATTAATAAGTGTTTTGTTCACACGATTACACATATACAAGTACAGGCCGAATGTATAACTTAATTTAGGCATACTCATACGAATATATTAGTTTTAAACAAAACAAATTTCGCGATGAGTGATTTCTGAGGCTACTTAGAGTAGGAATACTGAAAATACCGTATTCTTGCGCCTCCGGAACCTTTCTCGGTAGTTGGGGTGAGGAATGTAGGTCCCGATTCGTGGAATAGAGAACATTTTAGAGCCTGAATACAAAAAAAACTAATAATCATTAATTATACATACGTTGAAGGTGACAAATAAACATACCCATAACATTTTCCACCTGTATTTGTTGTAGGGTTTGTCCATCAAGGGACATTTTTCCAATAAATCGTATCCAAGATGGCGGAATTTCTGATCGAGACGCGAAATTGAGGCAAAATGATTCACGAATTTCTGATTGGTCGATAAGAAATGAAAGTAGAATTTCCACGTGCTTTTTTGTTTACATGTATATTTTACTATTCAATCTGCAATCAACTACAAAATTAAATGTCATGATAAAAATTATTTTTTTAATTATTTAAACAGCGAGCAGAAGTTTCAAATCAGTCTTTTAATTTGTTTCAAGAAATATAATCAACATATTAGCAAATATTAACGAACTTTTGCACTTTTTTCTTTAACCTTAGGGTTGTTTTTATATAAGTATAGAGTATAGACTATTAATAGACATAGTATAAGGCAAGCCTAGACTTCTGGGTGACACCATCCCATCACCAAGGCAAAAAATAGCAAAACATATAGGAAAATGATAATTCCAGTTAATTAAATGATTAACTAGAGTTAGTTAAATTGTATTTTAAGATCAAAGTTGACAAATCCCGACAAGGATCGGGGGACGGGACGACATCATTACTTAAACCTGGTAATGATAGAGAAAACATTGCTACATCCAGCTGTATCTCTAACCGACTACTGATAAAAATCGATAGTATTATCGTTAGTATTATCTAAGCACAGTTTAAATCTATCTGAGGAAAACGGTTTGGTTGAGAATCCTAATAACTTATGTGTTAATCCATGTCTGGGGGGGGGGGGTGACACCAAATTTTATAATTTACTACAAAAACAATGAATGTTTGCAATTGAAACAATAACTGTTAGAGTTAGGCCCCTAAATGCTATTTCTAGGTGACTAGATTGCTTGCACAAAGTTGACGCCCGGGGACAAACATTCAATTTGCCCCCACCCCTCCATATATATTTTTTTATGTTTATAATTCAAAATTGAAGCTAAAGTGAGCTTTTAAATTTTTTTCCAACCCATTTTGGCGACCCTAGGGTCGGCGACCGGGGACATATGTACCCACCCGCCCCCCTTCGCTACGCCTCTGGGGTGACACCAAATACACCGTCCCCAGAAGTGGATTGAAGTAAAACCACATAGAAAGTTTACAGATCTACATAGCATTCGATCAAGCAAATTATTATACAACAGCCCACGGGCCTGTAAGTGTGTGTGTATTTGTACGTATGTGTGTGTAAGTGTGTGACACATATAGAACAATACCTGCACATTTGATAGTGCTTAAGTAATTTAGCCTCGTGTCGATGTTGTAGTGAATTTGTTAAGAATGAGTCAATTGTGCTTAGTAGGGCAAGAAGAAAAATTCGTATATAATAAATAATTGTTAATATAGCATGAAAATTGGATGAACTATTAGGCCAAGCTAGATCTTTAATAGAATATCTTAGTGTTAGGAGCGAGCAAGCCTATATTATGGAAATCTACTTAAATAGGTGTATTTGATTATATTTTTACGTTACTTGCATGTTTGATGTATAATTGTTTAAGAACAACTTATTGATGTTATATGTAATTTGTATCACTGTAAAGGGAATTGTTTGTGGTTTTAGATGAAACGTTTATTAGAAATTTTTATTTAGAGTTTTTTGGGGTAAGTTAGCACAAAAACAGGGGAAATTTTCACAGGTATACGCTAGAATTCGTGCCTAGAGCAAGGTGTCATCCGAGACGCTTGCGGGTGGGGTATATAAACCGGCGGGTTAGCATTAGAGGGAATGGAGAAATGACGGCTCTGGTCGACGAAATGGAATTTATACAGAAAACATATACTTTTACCAGTGTCTGCCCCCCCCCCCGGAAAATGTTGACCGCCTACCAACCCCCGAAAACATCAAGTGCCCCCCCCCCCCCCCCGGGAGAACAAAAAGTCTGGAAGAAACACTGCGAGTATGCGACTATAATAGGACTTAACATTAACACTGGGAAAACTAAATATTTGAAAATGAATGCTAAAACCAAGGAACCATTCAGAATAGAAGACATAAAGGGGAGTTTATGTTTATGATTGTATTAGATTTTGTATAGGGCCTATTAGTGTTGCTTTATTGTTTTGTGTGATAAATTGTTTTGTGTTGTCGGCCTACATTATGTTTTGTTCTTTTGCTTTCTTCAGAGTACTTTTAATCTATTTACAAGGAGAGTCACATTTGATGGCGACTGCTTCAATTGGGGTAATCTTTCCTCCTCTCCCAGTTAATATCGAGCCACCTCACAATCAGTGTTTCTTCCAGATTTTTTCTCCGGGGGGGGGGGGGGGGCACTTGAAATTTTCAGGGCGGGGGCGGTAGACTTTCTTCGGGGGGGGGGGGGGATTCTGTTAAAAGTATATATTTTCTATATAAATTTCATTTCGTTCGGGGGGGGGGGGGGGAGAGAGCCCCTCCCCCCGAATTTGAGAAAGTTTAGGGGAGATCACTCCCGGTTTACTTAAGTAGGCGAACAGAAAAATATTGCACACAAAATCTTTTTAATAGTTGCCCGAATGGACGTTTACCTGAATGCGACAAATACATAACACGAGTTTTCTAAGACACTAAAAATGTAGAACTAGATCTATATTTTATTTGATGAACGAAAATCTAATGTTAATAATAATAATATTGACCCACCCACCCACTGGGCTTAAAAACGAGAAACACTGGCAAAACAGTTTTAGTAAAATAGCCCCTTAACCGTACATATTTAATGTGGACCTGGCATATTGAAAAACCAACAGTCTTCGCCTAAGCCGCGAAACCTAAGCCAAGCTGTAGGGCCTAGTCCTAACCCCGCATGATACTGTACGGATCTCTCATCTAGATTTGTAGGTCTACTGTCGCGTACTGCAGTCTTCATGTAGATCTAGATCTAGATCTAGTGTTGGCTCTATATTCTAGTCTAGCTAAATCTTTGCTTCCAATCTAAGCAAAGTGAGTAGTATTAGTAATTAGTTATAGAGTCTAGATCTAGATTCTAGATTGTCTATGTCTAGATCTAGATCTGTACTTACTAATACTTAACTTAGAATAGATCGAGTACTGAAGATACTAGATCTCTAGATCTAGATTCTCTAGATCTACTTCTGACACACAGAATTAGAATATTTTGTTGCCCTCCCCCTTTTTTTTCTTCTCTTCCCACACTTCTTTTTCTATTATCAATAGCAAATATAGCAATCGCTATAGTGACTATAGTCACAGGATCAACATTAATCGTTACCTCCCCTGACCCGCTTTTTTATGGCCACTTTCTAGTTCGTTTTTTTCGATCGCGTCTCGGCACTGTTGCTAAAAATAGCATTCGCGCAATACCATACGGGTAAATCTGTTTGGCGTCTGCTACACTTGATAGATCGTTGAATGGCCGACAAGCTGATATAAAAATTATTGCGACCGGATGCGATTTTCGTGGAGATTGAGCTAGATTTAGCAAAAGACAGCTATATTTGTGTAAAATATTATTATTTATACTTCTACTTACACAGATATTTTGATAACTGCAGTTCAGCCGTCCATTTTTCTTTTAAAATGTATCTTTAGAATTTCTGTACCTTTTGGCAATCGGTCAGGAGCATTTGCGCACTAAACCCACCCCCCTACGGCAGATCCGATTTTTTTCCCAGTGAACTCGTACTGACCTCCCACATAGCTAAGATAGTACATTGATACTGATGGGAAAGCCTCTAAATCTGTATTCCTACTAGAGATCTAGATCTAGAAATAAATCTAGATCGTGGAGTTTTTATAATGACTTTTAAATTGAATGTCTCCAGTTTAAGATATTTTTTTTTCAAAACATAGCTACTTTTAGTACTATATTTAAGTATTTCAAACCCTTTTGGTAGTTTTTTCTTAAACTTAGTTAGACCTAGATCTAGATCTAGTGATTAGATATCTATATTTTGTACTTATAACTTGCAGGCCTATTAAAATAATAATAAAACAGTTTGCTTGATATCTTTATTAGGTCATTTCATAAACACAAATGTTATAAACATATAAAAATCACAAAACCATAGGTAATATCTGAATTCTGTAGCCTACCTTACATTTAGGCTAATACTGAATTAAAAAGAAATTACATTAAGGTTTGAAATTAATACAACTTGTAATTAAGAAAGAAAGCTTCAATTCTAAATAATACAATATATAATAACAAACAATGAAACAAATTCAAAGCTTTTTTCAACCCATTTAGTCGAAAAGATTTTTATTTTTTCCGATATTGACCAAAATAAGTTTTTAAAGCTTAGGCCTACTGTTTTTACAAACATAACTCAATTTTATTAGGCCCCTGTAATCATTAATTAAGATTCCTCTGTAGACAAAGCAATCTATTTGGCAGATGAAGTAGAGTTCATGTTTCTTGACCTCGGCATATGAAGTGATTGTCCGTGTTGTCAGCGATATTCACAGCCGCCTTTACTTTTTACCTTTAATTTCCCCAATGTATATCAGGTACCCATCAGAAATGGGTGGACTCTAATTGAATTTTATTAAACAAACATTTTGATATAGGCCTAGATCTATAATCTATAACATTCCAAACAACATCTGTTCTGTAGAATTTACCTTTCTGCTTCCAAATGCGGTATTTTCCAATTGAAAATTCATCACAAAACATACAATAAATTATATAAATGGCATTTTATAAATTTATACAAACTATTTATTTTCACCTTGGTGTAAAAAAATGTAGGTATAAGCAAACTGATTTCAATAGTAAGAAAGAATCATGTCTTTTCTTGCTTACTAGCTTTAAAACAAGTGAATTTGACTTTTTACCTGCGTTTTTGGTCGCGTTTCTATATATTTTATTTGCGACACTAAAAAAATTATATTTAATCAACCGATTATGCTAAATTAATAAAATTGGTACTGTTAGATTGCATTTTTAAAGCTCTACAATTATATGCTATTCTTTTTATAATTTGAAGAAAATTGAATTTATATGAGACTAACTAATTAATGGATTGTAGATCTAGAATCTATATCAAAAGTTACATTATCAATTTGAAGGCATATGATTATGACCAACGTTGATGGGTTGAGGCTGTGTCTACAACACCTTGCCAGAGCAAAAATAAAGGCCAAGGCTATTCCCAGCCAGA